TTTACTGCTACCCCACACCGCCTCGGCATTATTCTTTTTCCCTCTACAAAAACAAACTAATCAGAAAAAGTGAGAGTTTTAGGGCACACAACGCCTCAAACTGCAGCCATTCAATTTAATGTATTTTATCTAGACTTTATGTGACGGGCGAGTTCTCTTTTCACAGAATGATACACTTTATATCCGATTTTAATTGATTGCTTTCTCGCTTTCTTTTCTAAAAACAAAAAAAAAAGACGTTTCAAATGATGGAAAACAAAAAGTGGCTTTTATTTCAGTCTTTCCTTCTGAGTTGTATGACGGAGAATCAGGGCCAGGCTTCAATAATTTTACGTTAATTATGAGAATCTAGTCATAACATTAGTAAACATAAAGAAGCAATTTTACCAGAAGAATTTCTTAAAATAAAATAAAATAAATGAAAAAAATTAGTTTTAATGGGAAAAAGCTTGGATAATTAATTTTTTGTAATTTTTTGTGTATGGCGAAAAAATACTACTTCATTCTCCTAATATTACAGTTGTATTCTCATAATGTTATGACTTCATTCTTGTAATTAAAATAAAAATGCTGGATCCTTATATATATTTTTTTATTGTTATAGGGTTGATCTGAATTCAACGTCCAAATAAATAAATTAAAAAGAAGGTTAAAGACACGCTTATTAAGCAACATGGTGGCTTTGGACGTGATGACATCACCCCATGGAAACCAAAGTAAAAAAAAAACCTAAAAATCCTGATTCCGTTAATCAATAAAAACAATTTATCGCACATCCCTAAAACGTCGTCAAACTCATTCAACACTCACCATCTTCACTTTATCTGTTAATAAAACATGCCCTTCACCATATATCACCATGGCGACGATGTGTTCAGGTGGCCAGTTTTCCACCGCATAATTTGTTTTGGATGTAGACCAAAAACCTTAAACTGAGTTCAGACGAGATTAGATTTAAAAAATATATATATCCACAAAGCTATGACTTCATTCATAGTTATAGCTTTTGTTCTTTTAGTTCTCTGCTTTTGTTTTTCAGATTTCAAAAGCAAAAAGAACAAAAAAAAAGCTGTCTTAAAGCAGTCAGGGTATATTTCCTGTATTTTCTTGAATTCCTGAGACCTTTTTTTTTTTTTTTTTTTTTTTTTTTTTTTTTTTTGGTATTTTCATTTTAAATGACGCTGCTGCAGAGGTAGCCTTGAGGTAATCGAAACCTTCCCACACTGTGGAGCACTGACTCCTCTGAACTAACACAGCCATGCTGCGCACTAGATCACTGTATTGGATTTCTGTATAATTAAAGCCAGCGGGGGGACAAGGTAAGGCAGAAATTTTAAGTGGAAGATGTGCAGGAACTATAGTGAATAAATAGCCGCTCTCATCAGTTGAACAAGCTCTAATGCGTTTCACTCAATTTAGCCAATGGACTTAGCCCGTTGCTATTTCCTATTATGTTATCTGTCACTGGCCCTACATTGCATTTGCCTTGAAGAACAGGCAAGGCAGAGTCGTTTGGCAGCGCTAATCAATACCATTCACTCCGCGCGAAGGCCTTATCAATTTCCAGGCAGTGCCCTGAATAAGAGTTGAGGAGGAATTTGGCTGATTCATTACATACATTTCACGGGTTTTTTCCCCTCTTCTTTTTTATTACAACTCTGAAAGGTGTGTTCGGGCACGAGCGATTAATTTGCAAGTAAATCAGTTTCCCCTCTGCCTTCGCTCCCAGAATGCAGGTAAACCTGTTCAATTACAAGTGAAAAGATTTCATTAGGGTTTTTTTTTTTTTTTTTTTTTAATGTTTCTCAGTTTTGCTGTGGCGACTTGTCTTGTTGAATAATACAGGTTTGTATACTTCGCGGGGCGGGCGGGCTGTTTGTGAATAATGAGTCGGTGTTAACACAAGGTCATCTAGGAACTTCCTGCTCTCATGATGGACTGCCGGAACGTTCAATATCCTGAACACTCTGACGGTGGTAGGAGAGGTCACTCTGGACTAAATTAAAGCATTACTTAGATTGGCCACATTTTTTTTTTTCTGCGTCCGCGTTCCCCTAGATTTCCATAATGGGGATAATTCACAGCACTTTGCAGAAGTGTTAACAGCTCCTGAACCTTTCGCATTGCAGTCACAAACATATTTGTGTTTCGATTGGGATTTTGCAATAATCACAAACCAAAGAGCCATTTTGGCCCTTCAGGTAAAAATAAATAAATAAATAAATAAATAATAATAATAATAATAATAATAATAATAATAATAATAATAAAAAGCTCGTTTAGAGCCGAAAATGTTACATAACCTTCTGTGAAATGACAATTTAAAAATCTTTAAGTATTTACAGTAGAACATTTTCTTTTTTTTTTGTTGTTGTTGAAAGAACCACTACTTTATGTTTTTAGATTATTTTTAATTTTTTAGATTTTAAAACACACAACCCCCTTGTAAAACTATCCCTGTCATGATAACAAATATTTACAGGATGATGAAGCATTCCGGAAATTATCGCAAGAAACGATAATATTGTTATTTTGATACCATTTTCAGTTGCATAATCACACAAGTTTGTCTCGTCGAAGACCAATAAACTCTAATTTTGTACAGAACACAACATGGGAACTGGAAAACATTTTAAATATCCAAAAATAACAAAAAAGAGGGAATAAAAACCATATTTAAGTAGGTTTATTAAGTATCTAAACAAAATTGCCCATGAATAATTATTCATTTATCAATATGGACATTATTAAGTGCTTCTTAATTTAACGTGCGAATAGTTGAATAAGTGATAGGCATACGTAAAACGTTTAGAATAGGATTGGTAAAAATATTTTGAATAACTTATTTGTGGGAAATGATTTAAACAACACTTGGTTTCCAACATAGTGACAAATAATAAATATCACTGATACTTGTCATTCTGTTGTGGAAATTTAATGAAGTATTTACGCGATATTAAAAAAAAATCTTACAAAAATTTTCATTTTGTTATATCTACATTTAAAATACATATACTTGTGCCTTGTTCTGACCAAATTTTTAAGAGACATTAATAATTTCTCTTAATTTCCTGTGTTTCCATCACTATCATCGCAGGTTTGTCATCCTCAGTAAAATGTTCACAGCTTGGGATATTAGTTTATAACTTTCCCCAGCTTTAAGCTTCCCCACATTGCAGTGGACGTTGCAGTTCTGTAACATTTTAAACTTTGCACCGCAATTGTTTTATCGAGAATCAGCTTTGACGTTAGATGAAAATGAATCCAGATGGAGGGAATAACGTTAGATTTATTTTGTACTACAACTTTATTGCGAGAGCGAACCCGATTAGCCAAAAAATATATCCAAAATAAGTCCCACAGACAAAAGCTTTAAAACACACGGGGAAAAGTACTTTTCCCTTCAATCATTGCTGATCCCCATCCTCCCATATCCTATACTGTCACTGTACGTGTGTGTGTTAGAGAGAAATAGTACCGGCTGGCTGAAACCTTGCATTAAGCCATATTTTCTGGGTCCTCATGAGCCCAAAGGGGATTACTCTCCACCAATTTAAAAGTTCAATTTGCACCTCTCCATCAGATTCATTTTACATTATAGCCTGCAGGTTCCCCTGCCCCAGCCTGGGGAAAAAGTAGTTAATAGTCCACTTCTAACCCATCATATTTTTAGTGCCAAAAAGACAGATGGGAACAGAAGTTTGGAAATTGAGGATAGGGTAAGTTGCCAACTTGCTATCAGAATAAGACAAATATGGTCCAACTTTGGACAAAGGGTGTGTTTTTTTTTCAGCACTGTGTGAACATGTGTAATGAATAATTTAATTTCGTTTTGTTGCAAACTAGTCTTACTGTCTGCTGGTAAATACTAATATCTGATAAATTCTGATATCTGGTATTTGTAAAGCTTTGACCAAACTACTCAAATTAAGGAGAAATTGTTTAGCTTATAAAGAGTTCTCTTAAAAAAAAAATCTTTAATGCACAAGAAGGCAGAAATTATTTAGATAAGAAACTGAGAAGTTGGGGCACAACTGATGTAGAACAGGGTTTGTAACAATTTTTCAGAAATAGTCTAAATTATTGTCTTTAGCATTGTGAACCATAAGTTACACTATGATGCAGCTTTGTGTGTTTTGTAGAAAGTGGAGACTGTTAACTTGATGTGGACTTGGAAAAGACTGCTAGCATTTTTACTTTTAGCTTGTTTATCGACAGAAGTGGAAACCTCAAAAAAAAAAAAAAAAAGTGATTTTTGGTGAATCCTTAAAAGTGTTTAGGCGAATTCGCCTAAATTCACACGAATTTGGCACCTTAGAAGACCAGAAACGTTGAACGTCGAAGCTCTATGTCTCTTTCTCCATCTCTCTCTATCCCACATGCATCTCACTCTCACAAATAACAAACATGGCGCTGTCTGTGCTTTTTGTGTCCTTCTGTCAGTATTACAGCGCCACAGATTGGCCTGACATACCTGTTGCATCATTTTTTTTTTAGATGTTGCATATTTTTTCCTAATTGTTTACAAAGAAGTATGCAGTGCTCGTCTCAGTCTGTACGTTTGGACGGGTTTTACCAGCTGTTGGTGCTCACATTTGATGTATAGAAGATATTAAAGCTCTCATAGAAGGGGTTGGGAAATTGTGATGATGAAAAAGACAGCAGGAAGTCAGAAAAATAACTAGCAGTTTTGCATTGTTTTTAAGATTCCTGACTCTTTGATTACATATCCCCTCATCTGTTTGCTTCTTTCATTTCTCTCACTTTATCGCCTCTTAATCTGATGATCATGGAATCACCTCGAATGCAGGTAACTTTTACTTTTTGTCAATTTTTGTCTTTTCTGCTTAACTCTCCTACAGTAGATTCAAGGTCTAGAATATAAACACAGCATTATGACATTTACTGTGTGATCAATCTCATTTCAAAGAGCATCTCTTGTGTAAAGGTGTGGCAGTTTGAAAAATAACGGCCCTCATGGTGTTTTCGTTGTCTTGCAGAGGAGCTGCGGAAGCTCAGCTGGTCTGGAATCCCGCGGCAAGTTCGACCGATAGCCTGGAAGCTTCTATCTGTGAGTTTTTAGCCGCACATTTCCACACAGCATAAAAGATAAAATACTCGCAAAAAATAAACAAAAAAACGATTGCACACAAGCACGGCTCTAAAACAAACCTCACGTAGCACCATAAACGTGGAATTTATACGGATTCATAAAAACTGAGCAGCACAGTCGCACATAAAAACCCAGATAAACTGTTACACATAAGAACCGCACGGTGTTGATCTCCGACACGCACACTAAAATACAAAGTTGCTGTCGTGTTTTTTTTTTTTCCTTTCTTCTCCCCCCTCCCTTCCCTTCCTTTTTTGTTTTTGAAAACCCAAAGGCCTTTTTTTTATTTTTTTTTTTACCCCCCCCCCCCCCCCCAAACTTCAATAGGGAAAATTAATTGTGAGGCACAAATAATTTATTCATGAGAAGCACGGTGTGTTTACTCATTAAGCCATTGTTGTGGTGTACAGCTCTTAGTCTGCTGAGGAAAGTCTGGCTTTTTGAACGCCATGACTCTCCCATTAATTACAGCACAATAGCTAATGTGCCGCAGAAAAGATGTCATTAAAGGTGCGCGGATGTATGTGTGCCTGTTCGTGCCGCTTTTTCCGGTGGTTGGAGGTTACCGACCGGCTCTTAAGCTATTAACGGCGCCTTTGTTTGGTGCCCGTCTCAGATAGAGGCTCATAACACCATATTCAGTCACAAAGCACTAGATGATTGTTTGTGTGTGTATATTGTATGTATTTATATGTGTGCTTCCGGCAGTACAGCTAATGTACCGTACATAATACCTCATTAAAGGTTTGTTGGTGTTGGTTTTCATTTGTGCGTCTTAGTGTGTGTGTAGGGTGTGTGAATGTGTTTGGGGAATAGCTTCTATGTTTCAATAATAAATTGACTGCACTCTTGTGTTTGTTTTATGGTTTTGGCCACTCAAAGGGCTATTTAAAAACTAGTTTCATTATTAAAGCACTTTTTAAAATTACAAGCATACGTCCATTTAAAATATCTGTGGATTTACCTATTAAACCACAGACACTTTGATCAGTTGATTCTCTATGCTGTAAAATTTAGGGTGTTTCCACACCTGATGGCAAAAATAGCAACATTTGTTAGATTTTCAGATGGTGCGGTTCTCTTTCACGCAGCACTTTGTCAAACAAACTAAACCCTTTGAAAACTATTCCTCCTCTCACCTGTGGTGGCGCTACACCAAGAACCACTGACACAAAAACCTCTGAAGGCGACATGAGGCATAACTTCCTCCTTCACGAAATGTAAAGAAAAATGGGGTGGCATCAGATTGAAGCGTTGGTAGGATTTCTCTTTTGTCTTGGGCAATAGATCACGAAGTATTTTTCCTGCTAGCACAAGAGTCGCACATTTTGTTTTGGTTGTATTTACCAAGAATGCCCTGTGATACAGTCCGCTTTCTGCTTTCCTTGTTAAGATAAGATGCTCAACTCCCTAAAAAGAAAGTGCTGTCTCCATCCATAGATTGTAGCAGATATAGACGTTTACCGTATCCCTCCATTTTCTACGAGACTCCAACTCTATCATCGTCGTTTATTAGTGAAGGACAGAAAATAGACTGTCCAGAATCAGCAGCATGTCCAATAAAATCACTGGCTCAGAAAAGAGGTTGCTGGGAGATTAATATAAAAAGCAAACAAAACAAAAGATCACACAAAGTCGTCCCCTGTTTGGAGAATTTTAGCTTCCGAGAGCATTTATGTAAAATAATTTATCGCAAGTGCAATACTGTTCCAACTGCTGTTATTCAGATGTAATGTTGTTAGTTTGTGGCTTTTTTGTCAACTTTTTTTTATATAACCACCATGCAAAGACAAAGGAGAAATCTAGACATCTGTGTATAATAAATATTATTACTGTAGTATCCTGCCTCAGGCTGGGTTGTAGGTTTATTTTGCTCATAGTCATTAAAAAAAAAGGTGTTTGACAGGAACACGGTATTCACCCGAAATTCAAATCATCTTTTAATTTTTAATATCTTCGCGTCTCTTTTGGCTTAAACGGGGTCAAATCAGCTGCTGCGCCTAAAGTCGGAGGGGACGGAGTTGAAATCCCTTCTGAAGTCGTACCACTTGATCTCATGACCTTATCCGCACTTACTTTTCTCCTTCGCTTGATCACCTCATTTCATTTTTATTTTTTCCTCATCCAACAAAAACTGCTTGAACAACACTGTTTTTCACTCGACGGTTTGATAATTCCTGTTATGTGATGTCGTGATTTACTGCTTTCTTTTACCGTTGTAAGCAAGCGTGGACATAAAAAAACAAATCCTGGAACAGTATTCTGTAAAGGAGAAACTAAGAGAAAAGTAATAACCTCTCTGATAGCCGTTTTTTTCCCCTTTCTTTCTTTTTCATCATCTTCACCAGACTCCATAAGTCTGCCTGCAGCCTCACAAACACACGTGCTTAAACTTCCTATTATTTCACAAATAATACCGTTTTATTTCATTTGTTTAAGGAGCACTCGGTGTCCAAGCCTGAAGGCGGAAGGAAAAAATTAAATGGCTTTGCCAAATAAAAAGGAAAAAGAAAAGAAAACCTTGCCCTGTAGCAAAATGTACATTTGCTAATGGAGTGTGGCTGTTAAATGTGAAATGGTGGGAGAGTGTGGGGGAAAAAAAAGAAAAAATAAAACTAACTGGCTGTGGAAATATTGATAAGGGTAAAGGGCTTTATGAAATACATCAGAGACCGGCAGCAGCTGATTCCAAGATTATGTTAAATACTTACCGTGCGACAGCTCACATGCTGTAATTACGTTGCCTGGGAGAAGAGAGCAATGTATTTTTCATCTGACTTACTGATGTCCACCCTTTGTGTTCTTTAATCTTCCGGTTTCCCCCGCCCTTTGACCATTTGGAAGGAAAGTGATTGTTCTTAGAGGAAGTTGTATCTTTAATAAATTTGCTAATTAATTCTATGTTCTAGCATGTTTTTTTTTTTTTTTTTTTTTTTTTTCCCCACTTATACCCAAAATATTTGCATGGCCTTAGATTAATTTAAAAAAATAATCGGAAGTTTAAAAAAATAAATGGTAAGTACATATATAAAGGTAAATGTCAGTAGCATGTAGGGAACCATTAAGATGTGGACTTACTCCATTTAGCATGCTAACGTAGCTAATGCATCAATGAAGAGCTAAAATGCTTATTTTAGCTTACATCTAATGTTAGCATGAGGGCTATCACTAGCATGTTGACACTACCAGTAGGATATGAGTTATCACTCGCATGTTGACTAGCAGTGACTTACTCCAACCAGTATGTAAACATTTGTGTATAAGCTAAAATTAGCCAAAATGCTAAGGTTAGCATAAATGCTGTCAGTAGCATGTGGGTTATCACCAGCATGTTGACTTGCACATTGCAATGCATTGGGCTGCTTTCCTGTTTATTGCTACAGCATGTCCCTAAAAAAAAGAAAAAGAAAAAAGAAAAAATCTGAAAAGTGTGGCATGGATTTGTATTCCTCCATCTTGAGTCAAAACTGTTATCTTTCGCTTCAACTACAGCTGCTATTTTTTGGGAGTATGTCACTACCAACCATGTGCAGTTAGATGGACAGTATCAGATTTGCATATTTCAAGAATTGGATTTAGTCCTGAACTTTGACTGGACCAGTGTATGACAAAATTATGTCATCTAAGCTAGGGGGCCAATGTGCAACCTGTAGCTCTTTGCCCCTCCTACTGTGGCTCTTACAAAACCAACAAAATATAAAAAAAAAAGTTTTTTGATTATGGACACAATAACAAAGGGTCGCTTTAGAAGTTTTCCTGTAAGTTTTTATGCAAAATCTGCTTGTAGTATCTAGCAAAATGCTTTTTAAAGCAGCTAGCTTCAAATATACTTATCTATCTTCAGTTTTCATATTTACAGATGAGACTCACCTCGTTCTACAAAATAGTTTCTTTTCCTCTTTTATAATAGATGATTCTTTTTTTATCTAAAATCTGAAAAACAGTATATATTTTTTTCGTACTTCTGCTTGCTTTCATAATAAAATATTTTTTTTTTAGAAATGTGTTCTTTGCGTCTCTTGGCGAGTTTTATTTTGTTGCAGCGGGGGCGGCAGCGGCTCTTGGAACAGAAAAGGTTACTGACTCACACCCTCATCTCAAGCCTCTTAGAGCATGATGCTGCCACCACCCACCATGTTTCACCATAAGGGATGTTGTATTCATTTGATGCAGTGTTTTTTTTTTTTTTTTGTGTGTGTGTGAATATTTAATTCTTAAACTTACCCAAAAATCAAATCGGAATGCTTGTGTTTGAACACACAGAGGAAACTTCTCACTACGTTCTGATATTCCAACTTTCTACTAGAAAGGATTATATTATTAAAGAACATTTCTGATTTGGAGGAGGGAGGAAAAGTCGCTTTAAAAAAGTGGATCGAATACGAACTCTTCAAGATAACACGAACCAGACTTCGGAACTTGCGAGATGTTTCTTTAAAAATACAGATGGGCAGACACTCGAGGGATGAGAAGTTTAATTTTAATCCATCTTCTCTTGTGCTCACTCTGGGACAGATTCCAATCTGCTTCCAGGATAATGTTTTCCTGCAAAGTAAAAATCAATTTAGAGAGGAGACTAAGTAAAAAGAACTGTTTCATTTAAATCCCCTCCCCCCCAAAATGTTTTCCCCCAGGGATATCTTCTGTGCGCTTCTTATTTATTTGTGTATCTTTTTTTTTTCCCCTTTAGTTTTATAGAGGTGGATCTTCCTTTAGGAGGAGAACAGGCAATATTTCAGGGAAGAATGAAGAGATCAGGTGTGCAGGAGGAAGTGCAAGAACTGCTATGTTTTACACCAACCTTATCAGGTCGTACTTCAGTGATATTCAATAATCAACATCTAAAAAAACAAAAAAAAAGTGAACGAGCCTCTTTTAATAAAAGGAAACAAAAGCCAGTCCTCAACCAGAAATAATCTGAGGCCAGCACTGGGTTTAATATGACAACAATGCTAATGACGATAAATGGTAATCATCATTTATACTAATAATTAAAAATAAGACTATGCATGATTACGATGATGATGATGATGATGGAAAAATAATGAGTGAGGGTAGAAAAATGAGAATCCATCCCTCTATTGTCTAATCCTGCTGGTCCTTTCAGGGACCCGGAGGGTCTGGTTCTTATCTTTAGTAATTAAAACATAATAAAAACAGAAGGTAATTATAAAGATGGAACAATAATAATAGTACTAGCAGTAGTAATCCTTTTAAAATTTACTGTTGCAGTGACAGTAGTACCATTGATTAAAAAAATGTAATAGTAAAACAGCAAAGAATGATAATAAAGAATAATACAATATAACAGTAAATAATAAAAATTAGGTAAAATAATATGAATTTGAAATAAATCAAATAGTAAAAATCACAATAAGTAAAAATAAGAATGATAAACCAGAATAAAGTTGAAAATAATAAGTAAGAAAATAAATAATAAACAAACCTAATCTGAGAACTATTTTAATGATGGTAACAATGGCCAATGGGATAAATATTCCTTACAATGAAAAAAAAAAGTAGATTATGATATTTGTAATTTTGTGAATGACAAAGACGGTGTTGATAAGAGTAATGATAACAGTAAAAGTGTTAAAATGATGATGAGGATGATAATCTTAATAAAGACCGATGATAATGATAGTAATGTTGATGATGAAGATGGTAAAAATAAACGATAACACTTTGAAAATGACCATCATAAATGAAGATCATTAACGGTGAATGTCACATTAACGGTGGGCCTGATCCTTGGTAACCAAACAAATCCATAAAGGTCTTTTTTAAATCTGTGCGCGTATCTTTGCACTGTCTCATTGAGCAGTAATGCAGCTCCAGTGCTACTAACCTCCTTTAAGCTGTCCATTAACCTTCAGCCGACACACACACACACATACACACTCTGCCTCATTTGGCAGCGGGCCCCCCTCTACACTGGAGCCCAGTGCTTTGTAGCTGGCCTGTAGCGTCCTCTGTTTGTGTGTACACAGGCCTTGCGTGTGTTTGCATATGGAGCCGTTTCAACATGTGACGGCTTGGACGTTTTGGCAGAGCGACCGTCGGGTAGAAAAGTCGGCGGTGCTGATGGGTGGGGGCGACTAACGTAGCCAATGTTCAGCCTGATTTGTGCTGGCACAAACATGGCCGTCTGGATGCATGGCAGCGCTGAGATGGGCTGTAAATGAGTACGGAGTTGACCTCCTTCACAGTAAATTTTCTCTATTTTTTTAATGTACGGAAACAAACAGCCAAACATCTGAATGACATATTTACATGTGGGTTTATTTGTCCTGACAAACACACGAGTGAGAGAGAGGGGAGGGGGCGAACAACAATCTGCTTATTTTTTTCCCCTCCCACAGCTAAGTTTGCTTTTAACCGTTCCCAGGGTGTTGGCCAGAGCGTATATCAGTCTGTTGACACGTCTGCGAGCAAAACGCTCGGGTGAGACAAACAATCCTCTGTGCTCCTTGAACATCTCAAGGGCCTGAGTCTGGGGAAACCACAAATAAAACACCAAAGAAGAAACTTTACTACTGTTAAATACTCCTCTCTAGACGCTTGCCAGAAGTTGACGGTGTGTTCGTCTCTCGTGGCCAAAGAAATGGAAGCTTGCGTCCAGAAAAACGGTTAATTACATCAAGATGCCAAAAAGAAAACGCCATATTTGAATGTATTTTATCTTAAGAAAAGACTGTGCATGAAATAAATCCAAACAGAAAGATATAATTAGTGCTAGAAAAGCATGCAATACTACATTGATTGGTGTATATGTTCATCATTTATCCCAGCTGTATCTGTGTGAAATATCATAGAAGATGATTGCACTATAAATTGACTCGAAAGGATTGACAACCCTGGAGATTTAAGTGCGAAGAACAACAAAACTGCAATGGAATTTGTTTATTTATTGAATTGAAACCTTGCAAAATATCTTCAGAACTCGACCTAAACTGAGCTAGTAAAAAATAGTTGGTTCTTAGAATCGAGTTCTAAATAAGTTGACGAAATTCTTCAAATTTTCCGAGCCTGTCCCCTGTGGGCTCCCCAGCGGCTTGTTTTTGCCGTCACCGTGACACATTTTCCAAGCCCTAAATGTATCTTTTAGCACACTTTCGAAAATTCTAATGCCATGATTCTTTTATAACCCCACAGTTTTAAGTTACGTCTGGACTTGGTTGGACTCGACTTTCTCCTCGTTGCGTAAGCCGCACTGCGCTGAGATGAACGCTCACTCACACACGCACTCTCGCAAATTCTGTCATTTATACCCATTCCCCACATAAACACACAGCCAGGTAGGCCTAAGGAGCCGCAGACGTTGTGCAACACAGCCCAAAAATGGTCCTTCTAATCCCGGGTGTTGGAGTTTGCTTTGCAGAACTTTTCTAGCAAATTTAAACTACAACTTATAAAGTGTTACTATTTACTGAAAGATGGCAGAAAACACTGAAAATTCACAAGAAAAGTCAGTCTAAAAGAACATTTGCAGTGCTGAAGTAAGCATATTGAAGCCTTACTCTAACATATTTTGAAAACAGTCCTAACAGCTAACCTAATAAGACAACTTAAATCTATTGGTAACACAGAATTATAGTGAGCTGTAAAACTATCGATATCCAAGGGACATCTTCTCATTTTTTCTCATAACTAAAAACTTTTTACATGACCAACCAGACACTGCAAAAAGACAAAATCCTACCAAGCATTTTTGGTCAACTTGCAAATGCCTTAGTACATTTAAAATAAGACAAAAGTAACTTTTCAGCATAAAATAGGAGCTTGCCTTAAGTAAATAATTCCTTAATATTGATGAAAAAGTCTGGTTCTACTGGCAGATTTCACTTGCAATTATTACTTTTTCATCAGTATTAGGAATTATTTATTTAAAACAAGCTGCTTCCTGGTGAAAAGTTACTTGTAAGTTCAAGTGTTGTAGGATATTTGCATTAGAAACTAGACCAAAGGTATATTGTTTTTGCAGTGCAGCAGTGCTCAACTATGGAGTAGAATGAAAATGTTATGAAATTTGGAAAACCTGTTAGAGATAAATGCAATGTTTTCCCATCATGCATCACAAAAATGGCAATAGGAAGGTGTTTGAATGCTCCACCACATTGAAGATGATCTGTTCAGTGAATCTGTTTTCTTGGTTCATCACAAAACAAGTAATTTGAAATTTGTGCTTACCACACATAAAAGTTAAATACTTGTTTTCGACTTGATTTAAGGGATTTATGTATCCAGCGTGAATTGACAGCATCATTGCCTGTGTTATCTCCGTTGGGGGGGGAAAGAAAAATAAACCCAGAGCTCACAGTTGATTAGCTTAGCATATAAACTGGAAACTCGTCTGTTTCTCTCCAAAGATGAGTTGCCAGGCAACTGGCAGTGAAAACTACCCAAGCATTTTGCTTTTTCCCAGCCACAACTTCACTTTATAACAAGCCTCCTGCTGCTTCAATTAGGATCCAAAACTTACAATGAGGGGTGCTGCTCAAAAAAAAAAAAAAATAAAATAAAAAATAAATCATAAATGTATTCAAATTCAGAACATGTCAAATATGGTTCAATTTAAAAATTCAAATCAGAAGTTTATAGTTTTTTTTTTCTTCTTTTTTAATCCTCTCTTTGACTTTGCCTTTCAGGGTTATCTGCCTGCCAATGCAGAGAGGCGAGAAAGCGTTCTACAGAGGAAGAGACAAGAATATTTCGGCTTCATCCAGCAATACTACGACTCGCGCAATGATGAGCACCATCAAGACACATACAGACAGGTATATGCTGACATGCCTTCACACACCGGGAGCCAAAATATAACACACTTGTCTGACACTGAATGACTCACCTGTGTGCTGCCGAACCTTTCCCTATTGGTCAGGATGTGGATGACGAAGCTGTAGGGTCTTTGTTTAAACCAGGAAGCCAATATTTAAGCTTGGATCACATCCCTTCATGTTAAGTCAGGTTTATTCTACTGACTGGTATCTTAGCTTTGCGTGTTAAGCAACTTGATTCTACTGAAGAAGACGAAGGTAACCCTGTTAGCATCTGTACTGTTTCAAACAACAGGGTTTGCCCCTGTGTGTTATAAGCCTGGCAGGCCACCAGGCTTTATTTGCTCCCCCGCCAGGCTAAGCGTCGTCTGTTTTTTTTTGTAATGGGGTTTCTAGTTTTTACACCGGTGACAGTAAAGACTGATTCATCTAGCGCCGTCCCTGCACCTGCACATTGGCCTCATTGTTTAATGACAATGCCTGCTCGTGCACCTCCAAATTTTGATAACTTTTAACACAAAAGCGCACTGGGGGACTGCCTTAGCGCCTTTACTGCCAGGTTCAGCATATTCTCTGGAGGAAACGTTAAATAAATATCTAACAAAGTTGAGGTTTACTGGTCACCAGTGTGATTTTCCTGGTTCTGAAAGCCCAGTCCTAGCATGTTTTCACAGACTTACTTCCACAGTCTCAGTTGCAGGAAACATCCAGATGTTCCCGTTGTATTGTGTTCTTTGTTTTCATTCGCCGCGTCCTCTCTGGACTGTTTATTTTTCGCTCGTGTCAACATGACTCGAGCGTGGTCGAGCTCTGTTCAGAGCAGGGACAGCCGGCTTCAAAGAGCTGCTTAAATGAACACTTTTCTGTGGCTTTGAAAATCTACTCCCCTCTGCCCCTCTCTCTCTGTTTATCTGTCAGTCTTTCACCCTTTGCACACTCCTTCTTTTTAACATTGGACTACTTCCTGTTCATTTGAAGCCGATAAGAAACTTCAAAGTATGCTGTCAGTCTCGGAGCTCCACACATTTTTCATATTTGGCCCAATTTCCCATTGATCTCCTCGTCACAGCTGCCACAAAGCTGGCACACTTTGTTGTGATGATTGTTTGAATCGCGTCCTGTAGCCACTTTATAACTGTTTTGGATTTTGTAGTAATTTCTGATTTTGCTTTTGCTGCGTGCCTTATTGTGTTTGCAAATTTTTTATTTTTTTTCCCCTCAGTGTGCATGGTCTTGATTTTGATCCCTTTTTAAGGATGGATTTTCTAAAAATGCCTGGATGTTTATAGATCTTTTTCCTGGTAGTTCATCAACCTCTGAATATCCACCCGTCTGTTTTCCTTTGACTTTCTTTCTCTGTTTTCTTTTTCAATCTTTCTTTCACTCTTAGTTTTTTTCACCATTTTTTTCTGCCTCTTTGTTTCTTTTATTCTTTCTTTGTCTTTATTCATTTATTTCACTCTTTATCATTGACTTCATTTTTTTATTTATTTCACTTTCTTTCTGTCTTTCTTCCTGTCTTTCACTTTTTCTTTTTCTCTTTTCTTTCACTCTTTTTTTCATTCTTTCACTTTTTCTTTCTTTATTTCTTCTTTTCTTCCACTCTTTCTTTTTGCCTTTCTTGTTGTTGTAACCCTTATGAAGCTTCTTGCTTCCTCCTTCCTGCAGGATCTATAAAATGCTGTCTGATTTTCTTCATACAAACGAAATGTATTTATTACAATAAGATACATTTCATTGTCCTGAACTTTATTTTAAAAGTCACAATATTCTCTTTTTGAAATATTTCAAGAATGTTGGTGTTTACGTCACAGCAGTCATTCTTCCTTGAGGGTCTAAGTTACTTGTGTCTTGTTATGTTACAGTGTTACTTGTTGCATCATGTTTTTTTTGTGTGTTTTTTTTTTTTGTTTTTTTGTTGGTATGCAATGAACACAAGCACAACCTTTTGATATGTGGATGTCAACAGACGGCTTGTGATGGAGGAGGAGCTGCTTGGTAGAGATGAGGTTTCCGATAAAATCCAGGATTAAAAATTTAAAAACATCGCTTGAAATTCACTACACCCAGAGTAAGACTTTGTGCTGGAATGACTTTTGACCCTTAAATGCCTTCACATCGACATTTCTAAAGTCACCAATGACATTTTGAAGAACTGACTGATAAGATCTTGTTTGATACATTTATCTCATGTTAGCTAGCATTAGCTGTTTAACGCTTCCATTTCAGATTCAACTAGGTATAGCATCTAGTTGTTGTATTTCTGAATATAATAGTCACTTCTGGTGTAGAGTTTGAGTTGCAATACTCACTTAAAATTGCTTGTTTATAATCTCCAGAGTTTGTTGTGGAAGGCATCTTTAGTTAATTGAGAATCTTTTGCAATGCACAAAGATTTCATTTTCAAATACTACCATACACTGATTGTGGTATTAAGGTGACAAAATATATATGTATGTATGTGTGTGTGTATATATATATAAGTTGATATGACTCCCTTATGAACACTGGGTGTGTTTGTGTCGGTCTGAGTCTCTAACACATTTCCTTTCCGTGTTGCTGTCAGATCCATATAGACATTCCTAGGATGAGTCCTGAAAATTTGGTGTTGCAGCCAAAGGTGACAGAGGTAAGGCGTCCAGGACTGTGGCTACGGCTGCTGCGCACTAGTCCTCTGAGTGACTAGTGCGCGCACGCACACACACTCTTCCAGACTGTTTCAGCCGGCCCGTCTCAAGCTGCCGCCCTGCATCCGTCTGGCTCCCTTCTGACGAATCTGTCCGCCTGCTGTATTGTTCGTCTGCGGGGGTAGACGGTCAGAAATGGCGGAAAAACGTGGTCTTGCAACGCTACTCACAGAAACATCAAAGGGGGGGCGTCCCATTATGCTAAAGGCCGCCCATCTGCACACACCCCCAAAGCCACAGCTGCTTTCCATTTCAGAACACCAGAAACCCCAGTCTGACTCCAATCAAGAACACCAATCCACTAACTGTTGCTCTCGCTCCGTTCTCCGTTTCTGTCTGTAATGGCCAGATCCGTGCTAACCTGCCCGTTGCTTCCTGTTTGTCTTTCTCTTTCTTTCTCTCCCCGCAGATTCACATTGACATACCGAGAACTAATCCTCTTATTCCTCTTTTCCAACAAGCTTCTGTCCAAGAGGTGAGACCCCACTTGCAGGAGCATGCACACCACCTCACAGTAGGAGGGTTTTCCCTTTTGCCTTAAGACTCACTCAGTCCATGTTTATGAAAAATCAAAAGAATCAACTTGGTTAGTTTTCTTATATAGTTTTTTAGAGGGGCAGTATTATGTAAAAATCAATGATTTTGAGCTTTACATCTTATTGTAATGTTTTTTCCTCATTAAAAACATCTGGAGTGTTGCCTCGAGTCTTTCATGAATCAGTTTAACGTCTGGTTGGACTTAGCTCCGCCTTCGAGGCGCAGCTCCTCCTCGAAGCTGCAGTTTCCAAGCTTCCGCCTCTCAGTGGTAAAAAATGTTGCTAAAGGGTTAATAATGATGACTTTCTGGAGGCGGAGTTTCAGAAAAAGCAGGAGTTTCTTAAAGAGACAGAGGCCCAATATTAAGGCTTTAAATTACAAAGTCAAATTTAGTTTATAGATTTTCTAGCAACTGAAAGTAACCATTGTATACCAACATCAAGTAACTATGCTCCAGGAAAATACATAATGATGTCCTTTTATGAACACAATAAGAAAATTCCTATGTGCAGCTCCAAAAAGCTGAGGTAAAACAGGAAAACCCTCACTGTAGAACACTGCATGATGTGAAAAAAAAGAGCACAAATTAAAAGCATAAACATAATTTCTTCAGGCATGCATGGAATCAGACAACCCTGAACTTTTTTCACTCTGCATGGCTGCCACTTGTATCTTTTTGTTGTGCTTTGTTTGTGCTTCTGAAAAGAAAATGTGCTTTTATATATCTAGGTTGTTTTATGCTATTGAAGTAAGACTGTAAAGTGAGCAGCAGTTTAAACAGTCTGGCTCGTGGGTACTTCCAGAGTCTGGCACTTTTTTTTTTTTTTTTTTTTTCATCAAAACGACGTGCAAAAAGCTTTGAAATAAGAGCATTTATTGCTGCACCATGATCTTGAAAATCCTGAAAAATGTCGATTCATTCAACCATTGAAGTATGTTGCGTTCAGAGTGGGAAATGCAGCAATTACTGCAAACCCTGCCACCTTGTACTATTTAGGTTCAGACACCGAGTTGGCTGTGGAAAGAGGTTCTACGTTGTTTCTTTTTCGATTTTGGTCGGCCTTGCATCTCATGATGGCTGCATTTATTTCCTTGGCCAACGATGAGAAATATGTTTAAAAAAAACAAACCCAACAAAAAAAAGAAGAAAAAAAAAATCTAAACATGCAGCAAGCCAAATAAACGGGGCAAAGCAGCCAACAAATGCTGAAGACAATCTCTGGCTGAGCAAAATGTGACAAAACCTTTGCTTTCACATTACAGACGTTTATGTTATATAACCTATAATTAAATGTGAGGTGATGAGCAAAAAAAAACTATAAATAACCGTTTCTACTTCGCTCGCATACTGATACTCGCTCTGTAGGTAGATTTTTCAGTCAGCCGTAATAATCAACATCTAGAACATCACATTTGCCCCCCTGAGAAACGTGTCATCAATATACAGAACTCACTTCCTGTTTTTTTTTTTTTCTTTTTTTTTTTTAGAAAAACAATGTAAAATCATACTTTATAATTACAGCTTTAATCACTCTACATGATTATTATTTAGACCCTTTAAAATCATTTTAATGGCACCAGTAATCATGCTACTAGTCATTTTATTATTATTTTTTAAATTTTCCTCTCTGGAAAAATTTTTTCTCAAAGGGTTTGGATTAAAAAAAAAAAATCAGTGTAGGATTATTCTGCTGCAACAAAAGATGAATATAACATTTTAGATTTTTATTTATACGTCTTAGCCAGAGGTTCAACCAAATACGTGCATATTTGTGGGTCAGTTACTTATATAACCTTTTAAAATACTGAAAACGAGCATTTTTAGCACTGATGATAAAGTATCGAAATCCGGCTTCCTACGGAAACCAGCTGGATCTCATTCCTTTCCGGAGCTTATTAACTCACAGTTTCTGCCGAGGCCCGTCACAGACATGAGCCCGAGAAACGGTAAACACAAAGAAGAGTTCCCAATAATGAGGTGGAGGCTAATGAGGAGGCCAGCACTTGAGGCCGCTCTGTTACGTCCACCTCTACACAGGTGTGAGTGAGCCTGGTAACCACACACACAAGCACGCTGTCTAAGAAATGTTGGTGTGCAAAACAGAGTAGAAATTCGAGTATTGAGCTCAGGCTCTTTAGTCGACGCAGCGCCTCAGGCAGCACCACCTCCCACTGTCGCTGGTTGTACAGGTTAAAACGCTGCGCTGTAATCAGAGGTAAGAAGGGAAACGGGATCGGATGACAACGAGTCGCTGATGTCTTTTCTGCATTGCGAGCTGCTACTGTAAATGTAACTTTTTGTGGGGGGTTTCTCCACCCAGCACTTCTGCTCTCTTTCTACAATAAAGGTGCAGAATAAATATATTCATAGAAATTAGATTGTTTCTTAATTTAAGTTAATGCAAAGTGCATTAAATGATGAAGAACATTTATCCAGGGTTTCCCCCAGTGTAGGTCTGGTGGGTCTCCAGGCTTTAATTTTCACCCCGCCAGGCTAAGCGTAATTTATTTTAAGTATGTTTTTTTTATACACTTGTAACAGTGATATTAAAGACGAATTAAGCTAGGTTTATAGTTGACATATTCCCAAATTGTGATTCCTGTTTGTGCATCTCCAAAATTTTGTACCTTTTCACTTTTTTTTTTTTTTTTACATAAAAACACGGTGGGCCACCGGTGGATTGCCCCAGCGCCCCTACCGCAGGGCTTAGAAGGTTTTCTGGGGGAAACCCTATTTGTCCTTTCATCCATTTTTTTGTGAAAGGAACAATTTCCTCTCCACTTTTTTGAGATTAGCTTTATCTTGGTCCTTGGGGTCTCGAGCTAATGGGATGAAGCCATAACCGTTTGACACAGGAGGCGCGGGGAAAGCCGATTTCCTGTCCTGCAGATGCTTTGTTGGAAGAATCTGAGGTTAATGTGAGATTAGCAGAACGTGCTCTAAACTTTGATGTCTCTCTTTGATTTTTATTTTTTAAGTACACAAACAGAAGAAAAAAAAAAGGAAAAAAAAAGAGGGTGTTGGTTCACCCACCATGGCTCTCTGTGTAGCTGCCAGTGTGAAATATGCATGTCAGCTTTGGAAGCTGCATGAAAAGAAAGTCCCATTACCCACTCGGCCTTCTATCGCCGGCACCTCTTCCTGTTTGATTGATGCGGCTTTGATAAGAAAAGAGCGGGCAGGTGGAGGAGAGTCTGCGAGAGATCTGCTACTGTCTGACATCACCGCGTTTACATCAAGTCAGAAATAAAATGAGTAATTCGCTTGTTATACACATGGCATATTCCCAAAAAACAAGGGGTGCAGGGAAAAGAAGAAAAAACTTGATAGGTTGGGGGCTATGCCAAGATGTGAGAGCTCTTTTTGATGAAGGAGAGGTAAAGACATTTGGACACCAGAAAAACAAGCTGAGCATCAAGCCCTCTTCAATTCACTCTGGCTGACAGCATTAAACAGTCCCTCATAACAAAGATGGAAGTGTTCGCCCGGCAAAAAAAACCCCAAGAAAAAACCCCTGAAAGTATTGAAAAGGAGAGGAAAGAGAGGGAGAAGGACGGGCGGAGTCACAGAGAAGAAGAGCAATAGATTGAATACACTCGTGTCAAAATGAGGTTTAAAATGGGCTGAATCAAATGTTTAGCTGGGAAACGGTAATCAGATGGTGCTTAACGGCGTTGAAGCCAAATCAATTCATTTTGAATTACTATTTAGCTCTTGGAGGAGCCTGTTTTTATTAATTGAACTCAATCCTTTCTGAACCAGAGAGGCACCGATCAAAGATTGTTGTTGCCGATTTCCAGTCATAAATGCTTTTAAGAAACCAACCCACCAAATCCAGATACAACAGATTCCTTTTTTTACTTCATGGGAAAAAAAAAAATATTAAATCACCCTCAAAATAAAGTATTTGTAGAAAAATAAAACACTTTTGTCTCATATGTTAGGAGGGGAGGCGGATACAGGTATCCAAACAAATAAAACCCAGCTAAAAGAGAATTACAGGCTAATTTTCCATTCCCATTTCTTTTATTTTTTCATTTTTATTATTAATTTTTTAGAAATGACTGTCCACTTTAATATTTGAATATAAAAGTAGCTCATATTTATATCTTGGTCAGTTAACTTATTCATTCATTTGCCTTAACTGTGCTACTGTTTAAACTTTACCTTTAATAACATAAAGTTACCTAATTTTTAAAGTGCAATCAGTAATACTTTTATAACAAATTTATATCAGTAATGATTTCCTGGTTAATGTCAACTTGTCATAACAAAGACATTTTGAATAATGTCAACTTTGTATTAAAAGTGTCATAATTTACCAAATGACGCTTTATGACAACAGTCATAAATATTCATGAAGGCTTATTCATGTTCATGACATGTGTTATGTCATGTTTATGACAGTGTCATGACAGTCTTATTCACCCCCCTTCAAATAAAGTGTTACCCTTTTCCCAGACTGTGACTTCTAGGTTGGAAGGAAAATAATTGTAAGGTTTATAAAGGACTAATTAATATCAGTAACCGTGTCAGAACTAACACAGTTTAACACACCTCTAAATCATTGGCCGTGTCCGTTTAAGTTTAACCAGCTTATTGTTTGAAACGTTCTTGCCTTTTCCACACCCAACTCCTCTGCCATCAATCAACGCCGCAGTGTCTCATCTAGAATTGAAACGAAACAAAAACTAAGCAAATACAATGCCCGTCTGGCACAGCAGGAGCTCTGACACGTGTATTTCGTATCCAACATTCATTTTCTGCTCCGCTTGCTCTATAATTAGCGGTTCCACGTTAATTAGAGGGTTCTCCGGCCGTTTGGGCGCCACGACCTCCATATTTTTGGCCCCACGTTTCCTCACGATCGTAGGTGAAACACTGCATACTAATTGCTTCAACAAAGTAGCTTTTTTTTTCTTCACTGGAGAGAAAGTCTGATGCAATTGCTTCCCTTCCATGAGCCATTGTTTTTTGACTGACTGCTTGTGTCCGTCTGTTGAAGATATTTGAGCGGATTTTGTTCATCTGGGCCATCCGGCATCCGGCCAGCGGCTACGTGCAGGGCATCAACGACCTGGTCACGCCATTCTTTGTCGTCTTCGTCTTCGAGTACATCGGTGAGTGACGGCGCCCTCCCTACCTTCTCTCACTCTCTCCACTCTTTATTTCCCGCTTTTAAAACTTCCCTGCTCCTTCATGTCGCACGCTGAGTGACCGCCTTCTGTAGACGGTATGAAGTTGGGCTACTTTCTGTTTCACCTGCGCAGATTGTAGGAAATCTCTCGCGGGACCCTCTGAGCCGCCTCATTTTACACCCGTCTACCCTCCATCCATTCTGCCCCTCCCTCAAACAAGCAATCCATGTTACATGCATTGCTTGTTTGAAATAACATATTTCAAATTAAGCTTTTTCCGTTCTGCTCTCCTTTATTGAAACATTCCCGTCGGCCCTCCTCGGCTCTTTTTTCCCCTCCCTCTCCGTTTCACTTCTGCTTTTCTCTCTTCCTGCATTTGTTTTTCCCCTCCCCTCTTTGCCTTCCTTTGACTCTCGTCAGATCTTCAAAGCGTCATCCCTCGCTCCTGTATGCCATGTTGCCTCCATGCGCTGATGAAGCCCGACTAACAAACGCAGCCAACAAACCTTCAAATGTGCCTGGCTGGCATCTTACATGATGGGTTGATGTGCTGCTCTGCTGTTATTTGGTGTTTCTGTCTTCTGACGGAGAGAGCGAACCAAAACACAAAGGTTCTTTTTTTATTTATTTTTTTAAATATTTTGCTTCTTTCGAGATGAGTGTAATTCTGCTCCTTTTGTGGGGAGGGTAGACGTTTCGACATGTGCTCTCTCCTGCTGTACACTTCCCAGGTGTTTGCTTTTATTTCACTTATTCACGTTTTCCAATGTTCTTGTCATTTCTCTACATGCATGTATTTGTTCATATCTTCATTTCATCCATACACAAGATTCAGGTTTCATTTTTTTGACAAAACTTTCAGCTTGTATGTTGAAAATAATCAGGGGGAAAAAAAAGTGTCTTCAGTCAGAAGCTTTTTCAGTTGCTGCAAAACCGACTGCTACAGGAGAGCCTCACTGCCCACAGCCATCAACATTGATGTAAACTTGTTGAAGAAATGTGTATAAAATGAGTTATGACATTTGATCTCCCTCTGGGATTAATAAAACATTTTAGACTTTAATATACAATTTCATTATACCTTTAAATGTATGAGGTGTGCTCTGTCTGAGGGGTAAAACACTGAACTTACAATCTGGACCAAACAAATCATATAGAAAAAATATATTTGATATATCCGTCTGTTAGCTTTTTCTACTTTCAAAGAAACATTTCAGTTCACTAAAAAAAGTCAGTTTTAATCAATGAAATACCACTAATAATCCCCAAACTCCTTTTCTACTAAAAGTCTCAAATTTATTGATAAATTTAAGATGATAAACCTACAAAACAAATAATGGTTTACAGTTGATGCTTGAGATTTCAATAAGATCCTTTGTCGCAATCAGTTTGCTGACATTTTGTCGACAGCAGCTAAACGTCATTTTTATGGACGTGTAGAAATGTATTTACATTTCCAATTTATGGTCTTTTAACTTCTTTAAGTGATTTTCCTCTTCATACAGTGATACTTTTGCTTCAGATGCACACCAATTTAAATCTACATTTTAGGACTAGGAGTACATTTGCTTTGTGTCTGCAGTTCTTCCCTCGTGGTACCTGCTAACAAACAGAGATGCACTTAAGATTTCACTTTGAGACGGTAAAGAAAAAGTGGGAAAAGGGGCAGCAAAGTGAAACGGAGCAGACATGGTAGTAGTAAGAAAGGATTACAGCCAGCCTGAGAATGAGCCCAGATCAGCATGAGCTGTACATCACACACTCGGTGTGTGGGATGCACTCAGTCTTTCATGACTCTGAACACGAGGCTTCACCCGAGCTTGTCACTAAAGGTGCTTTTTGGCCAGATTTGAAGATCTTTCCCACTTCTTCACATATTTTTATTTATTTATTTTTTTTTCCCACTGAGTCATACACCTGACCTGTCAAAGCAACAAGAAAACAGCGGCATGTTGAGAAACATGAAATGTCAGAGAAAAGCTCTGACAGTTTATGAGGAAAACGTTTTGGTGTTTTTGCGACTGGTAATTTAAAGCTTTCTCACTTGCTGACAATGGGACTATCCACAAAAGACGTTTAAACCTCTCTGAATTTCTTGATTCTCAGCTTCCACAGAAATCGACTTTTTTTTTTCATAATCCTTTAAAGTTGCCTCGGACTATAGAAGAACTAATGGAGTTTGCTGCAAAACTATGTATGGGTTACAGCAAACATGCGGAAAAGCCTTTTAGCTAACATGCAGAGTTCAGAGTTGTGGAATTATGTAAAATTGATTTTTTTTAAGCTTTACGTCATGTTATGTTTTTCTCCTCATCAAAAGCAAACATGGAGTGTTGCATGAGTGTTCCCATGGCAACCATTCAGCTGTGCAAAACATCCGGGTGGACCTAGCTCCGCCTTTCAGATGAAGCTCCTCCTCCGATCTGCAGCTTCCAAGCTTCTGCCTCACAGAGCTCTCCTCACCCCACTCAGCTCCTTCAGACTAGCCAGCAGCAATTAGCAAGCACCTGGTAGAACTGCACATCTGCTGAGCTTATTGGTGGAGCTACTTGTCAGTGGAGCATTGGTGAAAATGTTAAATGGTTAACAGGGGAGCCATGCTGTGATGACTTCCTAAGTGTTTTAAAGATACAAAGTCACAATTTTAAAGCATTAAATGTACATTGAGTCATATTTGATACATATATATATATAAACAACTGAAGGCATCATAGTTACTTTATTGTGCTATAAAATGGCACCATGTGCCTGGAAAATACATAACACTGCTCCTTTTAAATCAGAACGTGTAACGAGATTAAGGACTTGAGACTTAATTTAGCTCATCATAATTCATTTCCGGGCACAAAAAGAATGATTGTTTTGTTTGAACAACTCTGATTGTTCTACAACGCCTTCCCCTGTTCTCCTGCAAGCAATAAAACAAAGCGAGGGGCGCAGTGGGCGATTATTAGTAAAAGGTCACATAGATTTTCATCTCGCTGAGGAGAGATTGAGCTGCAAACCGGCTAAACACCGAGCCAAAATGTTCTTAGAAATTGAGATGGCAGCAGCTTGTTCATCCTCTCCACTTGCAGTCGAACACAGTTCCTCATTTAAGCTCTTCATCAAAAGCAAAAAATCCATTAAAATGTCTGAATTGGATTAAAAAAAGCCAGTATCAGTAGAGCTGGTTAGTGTTTTTTAGCATCATGGTGTAGATAGTTTATTGGCCTGTTGGGAACAAATCGCTTTTGTTGTTTTTACTCTCTTCTCAGTTCTTTATAAAACATTTGAAGTTGTTCTGCTGTTAATCTATCCAGATTTGTCCCAAAATACATCCAACTCAAAATGTCTGATTGGCAGATTAGCACTAAGAACAGTTAGTTTTTGAGCCCACTACAGAAGGAAAGCTCGCAACATTGTTAAACAACAAATTGATCTCCAGCTTCTTTTGTTTCATCTGTTCCGAGCCATTAGCCAACAAGAAAATGTGTCTTATTAAGGCCAGGGTGGTGCCATGACAGTGGCAAGAGGTAGATCCAGTCCCCCTTTTAATTTGCTGAAGGTATTGATTGACCAGAGGATCGCTAATGTAATCTGCATGGCAGTATCTTAGTATGGATCTACTCCGCAGAGTGATGAGAACAAGCGAGCAGCTCGGAGGAGAGACAGTGGCGAATGTGAAAACAGTGGAAGGAGAAGCAAGACTGGGGTGGAGACAAAGTAGGAGATAATGGCAGCAGTCGGAGTTCCTTAAGAGGAGGAATGACAGAGAGGGACGGAGCTCGAAGCAAGACTTTTACAGAAAGAGGGATTCAGATGGCGCTCCCATGCTGTCAGGAAACATCAGTGTTCTCCCATCAGTGGAGAGAGAAACAGCTTGTGCTTCCATCACAATCTTCTGCGTTTAAGACGCTCGTGTCACAGCAGAGAGAGGGAGAGAGAGCTACGGCTTTTCAGTTGCTGGGCTTTCATTAGGATTTCTGCAATTAGCTCTGGGCCAAACGGAGATTCACAGTAGGCCTGGGACGATTAATAGCGATTAATTGATTGTTGAGAAAATCGTCAACTAACTTAATAATCGATTAATCGTTATCTGGAGTATACAGACTCAAAAGAAGAACATTTGCTGAGGGGGAACCCCCCCCCCCGCCAAAAAAAACCCAAAAAAAAACTATACATTCTGCATTAAAGAGAAAAAAGCCTACCTTTTTCTGTAAATATGTTTTACAGTTTTAGCTTCACCTGGTTGAGATTTATTAAAGGCAAAAAACAGAATTAAATTGTTTATTTAATGCATTTCTAATGTTCCAAAAAAAGACATAAGTGGTTAAATAAATAAAAAAATCTGCACAACCTTCCATATTTGTTTTTATTGGATTAATCATCAGAATAATAATCGTCAGATGCAGCAAATTTGACATACTGAAAAATTTGGTCATGCTATATTCCACCATTATTTTAAGAAGATAAAGGAAGGATGGTTTTTGTTTTCAAATCATCAGATCAACGTTTAATATTAAGGCACTCGTTTAGTTTGGGAATATCATGGAAAATTTGTGATTTCTTTTGAAATGATATGTTTTAAAACTGCATATCAAGTTATTTTTGACTTGCCTTTTCCCTGTGGTGCTTTGCAGAAGCAGCCATCCTTGGTGAAAAGACGAGGTTATGCGGATTGTTCTCTCTCTCTCTCTCTCTCTCTCTCTCTCTCTCTCTCTCTCTCTCTCTCTCTCTATATATATATATATA